TAGGTGAATAAAGCAGATAAAGACAACGTAATAGTTTATTTGATAAAAGTTGATAAATGTTTGATCACTGAGAGATGATCGACACAGTAAATGTTTAAATAAAAAAATTATTACACTAAAAAAACTGTCATTTATGCCCCTCAGGATAATGAAAATATATCCCCTTGTTTCAAACACAATTATCACAACATTCTTGGGAATATGTCCTTTCTGTAATTTTTTTTCTTTTCATTTAAACATTCACCATGTATTTCAATCAATTCTTGTTGATTGACTTTAAAATATATATATATATATATATATATATATATATATATATATTTCTTAGAGATCTGAAGGATGAAAAATCCAAAATCAAGGCAGATTCATGTTACAGTGACAGCTTTCTTTCTGCTAATATAAAGCTATTTTCTCTCTATGTCCTCACATACATAAGGAGAGAGTTATCTGGCCTGTCAATTATGAGGATGCTCTTACCGATCATGATTCCTCTGCTCTCCAAACTTAAGAAAGGCCTTACTAAAAAACTGTTCCCTTGGGGATAAGGATTGCCACAGAAAAATTTTTGAGTAAATATAAATATTCAATTCAAGCAAATATTAACTTTGCCTTTTCAAAATTTATGTAAAAGATGTAAACAAAAATACTTCATTGGTGGCTCTTACTTTAAAGTGATTCTATTATTACTTACATGGGGGATATGGAAACATTCATAAAGACAATGTTCTCTAAAAGACTTCAGTAAGAGTAATTACAAAGTTATAGAAGAAAGAGGGACACAAGGTGATATATGCTGGAGTAGATGACGTGCTCTTTTAGTGAATAGTTCATTTTAATTGTGTCAAAGGAGGGAAAGGAAGAGAGATGAACAGTTAGTCCGAAGGGATACTATGGTTATCAATCACCGCCGTCCTTAAATGTTAGCCTCGCTCTTTTAGGGTCCATCCATCAAGAGTTGGCAAACTACTGTCTTCCTGTTTTTTTCAACACATGAACTAAGAATAGTTTACATTTTAAAAATCATTGATAACAATCAAAGGAAGAATGTGTTGGGATCTGTGAAAGTGATATATAATTTAAACCTCTTTGTTCATAAATTAAGTATTATTGGCAGGTATTTGTGCTCATTCTTTTTTTTTTTTTTTTTTGGTACCAGAGATCGAACTCGGATCCTTGTGCTTGCGCATCAGGGGGTGAAACAAAATCCCCAGCCCTGTGCTCATTCTTTATATGCAGTATAAAAGATATGGCCTACAAAATCTAACATTCATTGTCTCCCCCTTTACACAAAACTTTCAGACCCTTGAGCGAGCATGAGGGCGTATGCCTATACTCCCAGCACTTGGGAAGCTGAGCCAGGTGGATTCCTGCAAGGTCCAGGCCAGCCTGGGCTACATAGTGAGTTCAATGCCAGCTGAACTATGTAGTGAGACCATGTCACAAGAAACAATACACAAAAGAAGGAAAATTTTTAGACCCTTCATTTAGATATAATTTTAATAGGAAATTTCATCATCTTGGTCATAATAAATTTAAAGAATTTCACTACATAGTTTGAATTCAAATATACCAAAATAGTTGCTTCTCTCTTCTAGTGTCTCTGACATTGTTGTCAATGGACAGATGAAAAAAATAGCACGTATCAGTGGCAGCATCATTCTGTGGCTTTGGCAGTTTGGATTTTCTGTGATTTATATTTTATTTGGGGGACTTTTAAAAAACTAGGTAACATAGTTCTTTTTAAATTAAATATTCAGACATTAACTGAGTGCTTACTAGATGGTTCCTATTTTAAAGTTTTCAGCAATTATGATTACTGTATATTAATTATCCAAATGCGTAGGTTTCCCTGTGACATTTCTATGTCATACACATCAGGCCTTGTGTCCAACCTTCTTTTACTCTTCCTTACCTTCCCCTCTCTATGCTTCTCCTCTCTCTCCCTTCCCCACTGTCATCTTCCCCTTCTCTAATAGTTCTTGTTCAACTTTTGGACTTCTTTTTCCTACATGTGATTGAAACATGTATTTTTCTGTCTCTGTGTGGCTTTGATTCCTGGGTCACATTAACTCTCGTTATTATTTGTTATTATTTACTACAGTGTGGCAGTGTTTGGGCTAAATTTCCAAGTATATGGTTTTCAATTACATATTGTATCAAACATTGAAAAGAGGCTGTTTAGATATTATCTTTATTTTCTCTCTTTATCTTCTTTTGTTATTTCAGTTTCTTCAAGTATAACCCTTATAATTAAATCTAAAAGCTGAAGAATGTATTATGCATGTAGAAAACAATAATGAGAAAGAAAAACAGAAATTAAAAATTTTATTGCAAGAACATTTTCTTCAATTTGCTTAACAATCCTCTCCATCATATCATTCCCTTTTTTTGAAAACTGGAATTGCTAGTTTATTCTGATATGCTTGAAAATACTTTTTATGTAGCAATTCCTTTTTTCTGTATTCTTGATTCATAGCTTTTCATATGAATTCTTTTATTTCTCTATTTTCATAATAACTTTTAGGCACCCAATCATCATACATAACACTGTCTCTTTACATGTCTTTGTAGCATCCAGAGGTCTATACCTCATGTTTCTGCCTTTCAGACATGTTTACAAAAAGTTTCCAGTTTCCATGAAATGGTTGCACTCACTTCTGTAATACGTTTTAAATTATTCTTTCATAAGTGAGAATAATTTCCTTGAATATAGAAATAGTTGGTATACTTATTGTTAATATTGAAAACATAAACAGTTGTTGTGTGTTCACATTGATTTGAAAATAAATAACTATGGTTTTTAATTTAGCCTACTATACTTATTATTGTTATTAATATTATTATTATTAATTTGAATACAAGTTTTCCATTATAATTATTTACTTTATAAAAATATGAGAACAAACTACAATTGTTACCCAAACTATTCACAAGTACATTAAGATATCTCAGTAAATGCTTTGAGGTAAATGAGTATAATTTGTTTTAGTCTTTTTTCCCAAATAGTTGGATTTTATGTATAGGCTCAAGAAAATTTTAATTACTAAGTTGTTTTTAAAAGAGGATTTGCATCAGAATTACCTGATGCAGCTTTTAAAAATACACTTGCTCATGTCTCACCCTGGATCTGCTGACTCAAGTCCCCATGGGAGGTGCCAGAGCTATTAGAAAATTCCCCTGCATCTTTCTGATTCTCTGCACTTGAGAGCCGATGGTCTGAACACAGTCTTTCCTTATGAGCAAACAAAAAAGGCTGCCTCATAAAACATCACTTAATTTGTTAGCAAGATGTTTACAATACTGTTTACTATGTTCTCCAGCATCTTTGTATGGGACCTCAGATGAAACTTCGCATGAACAATTCTATGAAGTGGTTTTGTGCTCAAGAACAAAAATAAACTTGATTATTTTTCTTCTTGTATGTCCTGCTTTGACAGAGAGGATTCTTTAGGTCAAGGGTATAGTTCAATTTGTCTTCTCTAATTCAAGAAGAATTTATTGAGCCTCTTTCTTGTCCCCAAACCATGATAGGTGCTGGGAATCATAATCATAAGGAAAGTTTCTGAGCATGCAATCTAGTGGATGAGGCAAATATTAAATAAACATTTCAGTAAGGACTTTGATCTAGAGATTGCAAACCTATTTTACTATATTGATGTATGTATTTTACTCTTGTTTTAACCAGAGATGAGCCATGTCATCTCTTTAGGTAGAATTTATGATATTACAACTCTGTATATGTGTATATGTATATGTGTGATATATTTTATATAAAGTAGTATATATTATACATAACAGTATATATAGTTATTTATATTGTATGCTATACTTTGTGTTTTACAGGACATAATATGGACTGTAGTTTTATATGTTTCCTGTTTAATATTACTATGTTTTTATTCATTTTGACTAACATTACACCCTTCTAGGGATGAATTGGAATATACATATGCCTTCATACGTGGACAAACATTTGCTCATATATGCAAGGGTAAATTTGAATTACAATTCTCAGCATTACACATTAGCTTATTTTTCTTAATAATTTAACAACTTACAGTTAAGTAAAATATGTGAAAGTATTTCTGTCAAATTCTTCTTATTTCAATGCTTTTGCTTTAAATCATTAAATCTAGAGTTTTCAGTGACATGATTGAGACTGAAGAAAGGTTTGACTTCTCTGCTAGAGAAAGAAGCATGTGATGATCACATCTTCTATGCATTATATATATAAAGCTTATTTTTTTCCACATATGCTTAAGTAGTACAGCATTTAATTGCCCTTACCACTGTTTTAACCTATGATTTGACCAGGTCACTCTTTTTGAGAAACTTTTTAGCATGTTAAACATCGTAGAAAATTAGAAACAAAAAAAATTCTAAAATATAATTGCCAGTTGCCTAATATAAAGAAAGATGGAGTACATGATGGTGGTAGAAATGACAGGTGCTTCATGGAGAAGAGTCAGCTGTGTTTTCAGGCAGGATAATCCAAGGATGCCTTCCCTGCTTTGAAAGCTGCATTCTGAGCCTCTGATAGCTCAGGATCCTAATGAAGTTCCCCAAGCCACTTGCCATTTAAATAAGAAAACCTGTGGGAAGCTATGCTTTTCTTTCCTTCTAAATGTGTGACAATGAATAGGGGAGTTGAATGACAGGGTTGGAGAGTATTATTGCTTTGACATTCTGTTGGAAAATACTTTTAAACCTGGTCAGATATCTTCCGAATTTTGTTGTGAAGGCTTGCATGTCCCCATTCAACATATGGCTTCCAACTCACTTCAAAAGCACTTAACATTGTCAATGAGCCAAAAATTCAGTGAGGAGGATCTTGATTGGCATTATTATTAGTAGTAGTAGTAGTAGTAGTAGTATTGAATGCTGATGGTGCATTTTCATGGCAGGGTTCCTTCTGTGCCTATTGACATTCATAAATGAAAGGCACTGCTTTGCTGACTATCTAATTGGTAATTTGATTTCTCTAATAACTTTCTTTACAGGAACTGGATTTTGAAGCCAAAACAAGTTATACACTACGGATAGAAGCTGCAAATAAAGATGCAGATTTCCGCTTTGTAAGCTTGGGGCCATTTAGTGACACAACCACCGTGAAGATAATTGTAGAAGATGTGGATGAGCCCCCAGTGTTTTCTTCACCTTTGTATCCCATGGAGGTGTCAGAAGCGACCCAAGTTGGGAATATCATTGGCACTGTGGCAGCTCACGACCCAGATTCTGCCAACAGCCCTGTGAGGTAAAAGCACATTGCTCTCTTTTTCTGTAATTTTATATCAATATGCCTCTATTCACAACTCATGTGTCTATATTATGAGGCTTTTTTGTTCATTGAAAATAATAACCCACTTTATTTATATTGACCAAAAGCAGTAGAAGTAAAATAGGACCCAAGCAGTTCAACATTTTGCTAATTCAAAATTTCACTCAATTATCCAAGACCACTGTTATGTAGAAATATTTTTAGTCATCATTGTTATCCACTACCCCTTAGCCAGTGTTTCTATTCAATCAATTATCCTGAGACTCTTTCCAAGCAAATTGTGACCAGAAATGAAGTGATGCATCTCCTAATTTTAGGGTAAAGTCATGTATTAAAATAGTAATTGTATAAATTACACCAGGGATTAATTTAAAATTACATTGATCAGGGCTAGGGATTTAGCTCAGTGGCTCTGCGCTTGCCTTGCAAACACAAAGTCCTGAGTTCAATCCCAGGTACCACCCCCCCAAAAAAAACATTGATCATATTGATCTGTTAGAATAGTATATATTTGCTTGGTTCATTGTACTTACTTATAAAAATTAAAGAATACATCACCTATTTCTACAGACTATGTAAAATACCCTTTTTGCAACCCTATATTTAGACTAGAAAGATAGTTATAGCCAAATAGTCTCTTTAGGACTAACACAATTATAACATGTAAGCATTTCAGAATTCCATTTTTTACCTTTACCTATAGTTCATAGTCTTAGATCTGCCTGTCTGTTTGTGTGTGTACATGTGTTTTTTGCTTGTGTGTGTGATAAATATTTCTTATATTTGGGGTGAAATATTATAAATAAACATTACTTGAAAATATGAATATTGTATTACTTGATTTGAGTTTGTTAAACACTTCACTTTTAAATATGAATGTCTGGTTTTAATATAAAGACTATAAGGGAAAATCATATTGTCATAAATTCAATTAAATTCAAACTATAAGCTAACCTCATAAATAATATGTTAAAATAGTTCATCCTTAGAAGCTAAATCTGGACATTAACTAAAAAGGGTTATAACGATATTTGAATATTTTAAATTTAGACAGTGATTCTCAGTTAAGAACATCTCATGTGTTTTTGCCCCTCATATAATAAATTTATTATAAGATATGTTAATTCTCTCCTTTTCTTCTCTTTTCTTTAACATTAGTAGAAATTAGTAAAGTGGTAGTGTGAATTCATGCACATTATTTCTTTATCTTTATGATAAATTTGGAATGAATGAAGAACTACATTTTATGCAGTCATTATTAACCATATCTAAGTATATGATCTGTGTGCTAGCTGTGTCACAAATGCACTACACAGAATAATTTTTTGCTTTTTCCTTGAAATAATTCAACTTTCACTGTAAAAAAAAAAAAAAAAAGCTACTTAACTCATGTTTGCACTTTTCCATCAGTCATACTGACCTGGAAAATCTTGAACTTTTTTGTTGTCCAGGGTATAGATATCTGCATGCTATCAAGTCAGGTAAAAAGACAGTGTTACATATGATGAATGGGTGCCTAAAAGCTATTATAAAAATAGAGCAATAAAAGAATTCATAGGAATTCTTGATGCGTGTCTTGATAGAACATTTAAGCCTCCACCCTGATGAACAATCAATAACAGTAAATTTACAGGCATAAATCAGATACATATGGCAGGATGACTTCTGCTTCAATCATTTCATTTAATGTGTAGAAAGAAAAATATGTTCGCCTGAAGTTGAGGATATGGACAAAGATGCACAGTAAATATATCATACATTAGTGCTAAAATAAATCGAGAGATTTAAAAACATTTTGATTGATTGCATTGGTATTTCATAACTTGTTCTAAATTTTCCTTTTTTCACTCTGTACATGTCATCTTACTGGTTCTGAGAAACCATTGCATTTTTAAAAATATTTTGTTTGGAAAAAGGAACAGTAATACTATATACAAATCTGAGGGGAAAAAAAAGACTAGGCCCAAATGGGTAGTTACTGTTGTTAGAGACAGATTGCTCAAAGGCCAAATTCTATTGGTTTCAGAAGTAAAGCTCTCTGTGACCTTTATGAAAGTCATAAAGTTTATTTACCTTGTTTTCATTAGTTTATTTACTTTGTTTATTTACCTTGTTTTCATTTTCTTAAAAGTATTAAAGGTGACCTGAAACTATAGTTTGTTACTAGCTTACATAAGTTTCACACCAATAGATAAAATTTATCTCCAGTGGATTAAATTATTGGTATGTGTAAACATTATTTTGGCTTTTCACATGTTTAATGCTAGTATATTTGTTCTATCTCTTTGTTTTGCATTATTTTCATTAAGGGCAGTGCAATCTTCCATAGATTATATTTCTTTTTTCTGAACTTTTATCTTGCTTATTCTTCCTTTCATACCCATTTATGATATATTTTAAAAAGCCAGTGTCCTCATTTTAGATTGCTGCATGTGAGCTAATACTTGTTCAATTTTCTGAAGACTTTTTTCTCTTCTCAGTGCTGCAGTTTTGAATGTCCTAGGGACGTAGTGTCAAACCAATGACACAGTTGTGCAGCAGGCTGTTTGTTGTCATGGAAAGCTCTAGAAGTTTTGCAATCATCAGAGGATGCCATTTAGATTTCTAAGTTTATAAGATAGCAAAAAAGAAAAAAAATAATTGTGATGCTTACTTTATTACTGGGAGGTTTTTATCATTAAATAAAAAGATAATATAAATAATGCTTTAAACCGTGAATCGAACAAATCTTAAGTGAACCTGGGACCCAGTGGTTGGCTGGCAGCACATAGTAAGATCAGGAAATGTTAAGTCCTTTTCTTTTCTAGTTTTCCCACTATCCAGCTAGACTGTACACTTAGTTTCCTTCTTCTCCTATGGAATTTAAAACTGCACTCAAATGTAAAGGTGAAAATTAGATGATAAATGAAATTGCTTAGAAAAAAATTTAGAGCAAATGAAGGTGATTGAGGGCAAATATATTTGGCTTGTTATGTTTAACAAGCTGATTACCATCTCATGTCAAGTTTGGCCCTAAATACTAAATATGTGCTTATACTTATTAAAATTAAAAGGACAGGATACAGTCTGTTGATTCTGATTGTCTTTTATTTATTTTTTTTTTTTGCGGTACTGGGGATCAAACTCAGGACCTTGCACTTGTGAGGCAGATGTGGTGCCACTGAGCTAAATCCCAGGCCCCTGTGATCATCTTTTTGAACTACAGAAATTTGACTTCTATGTTTCTTAGCCAAGCTCGTAAGAAATGCAAGAGCAGCCTAGATATTAGAGACCTGTGGACCCATTCTTTATGTCAGCACTGGCAGACTGATCAGTGACTCAACAAACATTTATTAAGAACCTGCTCTGTCCAGGAAGACACTGAGAAAAATGCTTATAGGAAACAAACATGAATAAAACATTTAACATTTAAAACTTAAAACATTTTTCCCCAGGAACTGACAGTCTGGACGAAGTAGTAACCCATAAAATTAACCCATAAACCCATAAAATTAAACAATATGAGTATAAAAAAACTGTTAGTGCTGTAAAATGGAAAACTATAGATAAATCACAATCACTAAGTTGGCTAGACATTAGACTTCAATTGAAGAAGGGATAGCATAAGTAGAGTTTTGAGGGATGGCATGATGTGGATAAGCCAAGAAAATATAATGCAAAATCTGTTTATGCTCTATTTAGATATTTCCTAAGACCCTAGTGCTAAACTATGAAATCAGCCAATTCATTTCTGGAGGCTACTGAGAAAACTCAAATGCCTAATGCTAAAAATAATCTATGAATCCAAACACGATCTTGTTACAAATAAGATCAGATGTGAAGATAGTTGAATAAAAAGTAATAGGCATCATTTTTGGCATATTTAACAATTTAAATATAGAACTGTATGTATATTTATGTTCAAAAATAGTTGAATAATAGTTAACTGTAGGCTTTTTGACATTTATAATGTTTCAGATAAATCATAAAGTCTTATGGACACAATTGCAGCATTTGAATAATTTAGTGTGTATTTTATGTGACTTGTATGCATGCATACATTTGTACATATTGTGCTAAATAATTTATGAATGTATACTTTTTCTAAAACACATAGTGTGCTTGTAACAGATGGGAAAATAGTGTTAGCAATAAAAACAGTTAATTTGAAAAGTTGCAGAAATCAGTGAGTCATGCTACATGCTATATATCAAATGGTGTTCATTTTAACATAACTGTAACTACAAGTTAAAAAAAACTTCAGGTAATGTGAAAAAAATGTGTTTTCTTATAATATTGTATTTACTATGCAGAGATAATTCTCAAAACATTAAGTAGGAAATACTTAATTTATTTGAGCCATTTTCCATTTTCATTATGTACAATGTTACAGAATTATGCTGTTATAGCCAGCTCTCAGAAAGGATTTTCTGAGTTAGAATTGTATTTAGAATATTCTAAATACAATTAATTTCCTGAAAATTATGTGCTTCCTGATTTGTACTACAAGATCAGATTAATAAAAAAGCAGAAAATACAAAGTTTCTCATGTAAATCAAGGGAAGTTATATTTAAGGCTGCAAGTTTGGGGAACTCATATTTATTTACCTTTAATTGTCCTCTGAACATCCTTTAATTGCATCAGAAATTGGCTGTGTTTAACTGGGAAAAAAGGGAATTTATTAAAATAATTGGGCAAACCTCATGAAACCAAAGGAAAGTTGAATAGCCAATCCTCGGCAAAAAGAGAAGTAAGAGTACTCTATAAATATGAGTAGAAAGAATAAGCAGTGTCTTCAGGAGGCAACGACGTAGAATGAATCAGCTGCAACCCTTCCCTTGTGGCTGTGTAATATTCATGCTTCCTGAAGAGTTTTTGTCTTAACTTGACATATGTGCTGTCTCTAAACCAAAATAGTTTTAGTATCTCGATTGTTACATCGAGGTGTGTGAAATTGAGATTTAAGTCCCCAAAGGAAAACTGAGTTTTACGAGAG